GTGGAGCTTATATTCTATCAAGGTGAGACATACGCATTATAAGTATATAAAAAATAAGGGGATAGATTGGACTTGTGATTTCGTTGGCATAGAGAACTTCAAGGTAAGGAAATTCCCTCAACCAATCCAATTTATAGTCTTAGAAAATTTCCTAGATCACTGATTGGTTAAGTAACTTTCCCAGGGACTTGAAACCAAAGCACCCTCTATGTCATCCAGTATACATATATACATATATGTATATGTATGTATATATAATATATTATATACAGCATATGTACATATACAAATATATACACAAATTTTATATATATATGTATGTATGTGTAGAGTAATTTTCAGGGGGAAGGCATAGGCAGTTGGGGGAGATCCAGAAAGGCTTCATGTAGAAGGTGGCATTCGTGCTGAGGTCTGAAGGAAACAAGGGATTTTAAAAGGCAGAGATGAAAAGGGAGTATATTCCAGGCAGGAGACAGAATGCTGATGTTGAAGACCAGCCTTTGACCCAGTGAGTTTTGTGCACCTGGAATGGATGCCGGCAGTACCTTTATCCCTGGCTTTTCTGGGCCTTTTTCCCATGGGAATGGGGGAGGGAGGGAGAAGAACACAACAGATTTGATCATGAGAACTAGACTGAGCAGCTACATTTACACCTAAAAGAGCATCACCCTTTGATTTCATTGTCTCTGCTTTTTTCCCCTTATGACCTTCAGTATTGATGAAGTCTACATGGGGCACATCCTTACAAAGGGAAGGAAGTGGGAGCAGGGGGTGGGGGTTACACTAGGTGAGTTCTAAGGTCCCTTCAGCTCTAAACCTGTGGTTTGTTTTTTTTTCAAGGAATTTATGCTCTCTTTAAACATTTTTAAAAAGCAATACCTCTTTTGTCACTTTCATTTCCAAATATATCTATACATCTATACACACATATTTCCCATTCCATTGCCCTGAAAGTCGTCCCTTATAACTAAGACCCAGAGAGAGAGAGAGAGAGAGAGAGAGAGAGAGAGAGAGAGAGAGAGAGGAAGGAAAAAATACAGTTCAGCAAAACTAACAAACACATTGACCAATTCTTACAGTGTGTGCAAAGTAAGGAACTTCTCTCCTGCTGGGTAAGCTGCAGTGGGATACATCATGTGCAAATAGGATAATTTATGGAGGACTCTCCCTAACCTGCCTCCTCCTACCTTTCCAGTCTTCTCACACTTTACTCCCCTCCACCCCTTCCTGCTTTCCAGTGATACCAGCCTCTTTGGCTCTTTCTGGGACACAGTGTTCCATCTCTCCACTCAGGTCATTTCCACTGGTTATCTCTCTGCCTGGAATTCTCTCGCTCCTTGTCTCTGGCTTCTGGCTTCCTTCAAGTCTCAGCTCAAATCCAACCTTCTATGAGAAGCCTTTCCCAATCCCGCTTAATGCCAGTACCTTCTCTCTGGTGATTGTCTCCAATTTATCCTGTCGATTGTTTGTTCATAGCTGTTTGCAGGTCGTCTTCCCCATTAGACTGTAAGCTCCTTGAGGGCAGGGACTGTCTTTTGCCTTTCTTTGTATCCCCAGAGCTTATCACAGTGCCAGGCATGCAGTAAGTGCTTAATAAATGTTTGCTGTTGTTGTTGTTGAAGGAGAGACCCCAAACAACCAGGAGGATCAGGAAAAGCTTCTTGGTGTATTCTGTGGGCTTTACAATGAAGCAAAGGAGCTTAGGCCTGGTAGGCACATGGCACAGGGGGTCCTGATGAAATCGGACCTACCAATGGTGGTAGGAGCATGGCATAGAGGGTCCTGATGAAATCGGACCTACCGACGGTGGTAGGAGCATGGCACGGAGGGTCCTGATGAAATCGGACCTA